AGCAGCCGGGCAGGTTTTGAATTGAAGATTTGCAAGTGAGGAAATTCCAAGGAGAACGACGCTTTATATAGGAGAGATGCCGCCCAGACGGGCGAATGAAGAAATGACACGTGGCGGCTGAAATGATTTGCAATCATAACCTCTCGGGGAAACGAAACGACACGTTAAATCGGCGGCTCTGTACCCGACTTCGAGAAGATTCTCCCGCTTTGGACCACCGTTTTTTGAAAATTCAAAATTCAAAATTCAAAATTCAAATATTTTGGGTTGGCGCTGGTTTTCCGAGACGATTTCCCCGCCGAAAAGCGACTGGGCTGTTCAAATTCCAGGAAATGATCGCATGTGCTTCCCGCCCCTGATGGTCCCCACAGGACCGGGAATCGGAGGACTCCTTGATGGGTAATAACCCAAGGATACCACCCGGTTGGTTCACCGAACAGCACGCGTCTTTTTCAGCCCGGGTTATTTGACCGGTTGGATGAGGAGACCAGATGCCAATACCCGAAGATTTACTCAAGTGCACCTGGTGGGCCGGTCAGCCGCCTGACCGGTTGAATAATCAGAGACGTGCTTGACGTGCTTAGGATTATTATAAATACCCTTAAAAGCCTCATTTGTGAGGCATGTTTTGAATTAATCTACACGGCTTGTATTTGTAATAACTCCTATTATCATTAATAACAAACCGGGCTACAGGTGATTCCACCTACAACCCTTCCGATTACTCACACTTAATATTTGCGTGGTAATTTACACCATCACCCCTAAGTAGTACGAAGTAGGGGTGGGCACGGATCGGGACGGTCTGGATTTTAGGTTGTCCCATGTCTTGTCCCGTTATATATAAACGGTCCGGAACGATTCGGATTACAATCTAATCCTGGTTTGTCCCATAAAATTCTGGATCGGAACAAAACGAGACGGATTTGGGTCGTCCTACTTTGTCCTAATCGCTAATATAAGAAGGGGAAGAGGGTGACATTTCATTCAAAAAAAGAAACATCTAGCCATCCAACAAAAACAATGAGTGGAACGGGTCCAAATAAATTTCAAGCTCATGAAGCTAATTTAATTAAATAACTAATTAATTAAAGAATGACTGTGTTTAGATTTTGGACTAGAATTAGTATTATATATTAGTAGAGCAGATGAAACGGGACGGATCGGTATAAATTTAAGTTGTCCCGCTCATGTCCCATTTGATATTGGGACGGAACGGGTTCGGGACAAAAAAATTGTGTCCCAATATATCGGTACAATTACAAAACAGATCCGGGATTTTTTGGGACGGTCCAACGAGAACGGATTTCACGCCCACCCCTAGTACGAAGTATTTGTGAATAGAAGGGTTCAAATTGAATTCGAATGTCATAATATGAGCAACCTATATAGCATCCCGTTTGAAAAAAGTAGTGGTTCCCATCATGCTTCCTCACTCTGTCCTAAATTGCCTTCAATTACACTTTCCAAAGTGAACTAAAATTACATTACACCAATGCTTAAGTTAATTTATTTTTTAAATGCGGTTTATGAAACTAAAACCAAGAAAATTGTACCATAGGTTTTTGGTTGAAAAAGAAGGGTAGAAGAGAAGGTATGTCGTGTAAATTGGATTGGATCCAGGGAAGGTAGGAGGAGCAGAGGAAATCGCCATGGATCCATCGCAGCAGCAGCCTCCACAGCCGGAGCAAACCCTGGCTTCCTCGTATGCCTACGACCCCAATCAATCAACCTATGTCTACTATCAACCTTCGTACCAGTACGCATACTACGATCCCGCACAACAAGCGGCATACGACGCCTACTACCAACAACCCCACCACCAAGAACAACCACCGCCTGCCAACCCATCCGGGACGCAGTTCCCGCCTCAACCACAATCGGAGCCGGTCTCCGCCGCCGCTCAATACCAGTATTCCTATTACCAGCAGCCACAACCGCTGGGAATGGAATACGGAGGGGTGTACGCGCCCGTGCCCCCAACCCAGGTATGGGATGTCATGTATAGCTATGGATTTTGGTCTAGGGTTTTGATCTAATATTAGGGGAATTCATCTTGAGATGCTGAATTAGGCCCCGATTGTGACCAGTTCTTTCAATGATATACTCTAGTTTAGCAGAGTTGGGTCTCCATTGACAATTGTGTTTATGAATTCCAATGATATTGATGTCTGTGCTCCCTAATCTTATCAATTCAACATTCTTTGTTTTCCACCCATGTTGGGATTCGGCGAAATCAATTGTAAAGACATAGAAAACTAAAAAAAATGGCACGATTAGAGAAGGATTGCGTCCAATGTGAAACGAGACACTGGATGGTGAACTACACTGACAATTAAAACTGAAGTTTTGTATATTAAGTTACCCTTACTAATCATATGGTCATCTTTTGCTTGTTTTCACGAAACTGCTTGAGCTTGGTTACGCTATTTCTCATACAAGCTGAGTCCTGCCAAACGAGGAGTGGAACTTGAGCAATCCATGTGATGACTATTCTGCTCAGCTAATTACTATACAAGATTTTCAAGATGTTTGGGTCCTCGGAATCGATTGTCCTCGTGACAAGTGTCATCTTTTCTCTGCTAATCCCCAAGGCATAATTAGCTGAGCTGAATGGCCAATGCAAATGATAGAAAAGCTGGACAGAGTGAGCTTGTGTCTTAAATTGGTACCTCAAGCTCACACTCAAGTGCAAACCAGCTTGCATATTGCCAACAAACCAAGCTTGAACAGCCTATAGTGTGGCTCAGTGTACGCTTTTCTCTTACAGTCCTACTTAAAGTTTTCTTTGTCCTTTGCAGAAATGGTTAGTCTCAAGAATTGGAATTCGTTGAAGATTTTGGTGGTGTTTGAGGTGGTACAGGCACGCCGAACAGTTATAAATTTGAACCGTACTCCGTTTTTACTTTTCGTTTGCTTCCTTCGCACAGCAACCCACTCATTATGCCTTTCAGCCTTTGTAGCCTTTGTTTGGTTCGAGGGTATTGGAAGGGAGGGAAGGAAAGTGAAGGGGTTGTGTGTGTTCGATTGGGGGAGTTAGGGCGAAGGAGATGAAAATTGAGGTGCTATGAGAAACACTCCTAACTCATCTCCCCCCTCCCCCCAAAAAAAGGAAAACAAGGTCTGTAGGATTTTGTGGTATTTATGTTTCTCAAAAAGTGGAGGACCATGAAGGGAATATTTTTTTCCACATTTTTGCTCAAAAAGTCAAAAGGATTGTCTATGGAATGATTTCAAATATAGAGGAAGAGAATATTTTGAAATAGAGGACTATATTTGGAAACAAACATGTTATAAAGGACTATATAGGAAATATACTCAAATTTTAATTACAAAAAATTACGGAGCATATAAAAAACTCTTTTTTACATATTTTTCCAAAATACTACCTTTGCACTACTTCATTGACCAACCATATACGGAGTATTTTTAAACCACCTTCGTTTTTCGTCCACACTACTTCCCTCTTTTCTTATCCTCTCCACTTTATTGAACCAAACAAGTGCTGTGTGGGTGCTTCCATAGACCTGTGATGCATTTATGGTCCAACACTTCTATAGAATGAACTCCCCTTGTCCCACAAATGGCTCTTGGCTTGACTTGGCAAAAAATTTAAGGAAAGTGAAAAAGTGTGGTTGAAAATGATGTAGAGGAGAGAGAAAGATCGAGAACTACTCAAAGTTTTCCAAAAAAGGAAAGGAGTCTTTTTTTGGGACGTCTCAAAAAGGAATTAAAGAGTTTTCTTTTTGAGATGGAGGGAGTAAGAAACAAGGAAAGTTTAATGTACCATTTTAGGTTAGTCCATCATTTATCCGAAGCTAAAACATTGTTTAAAATGACTCTTTTAGCTCCATTGGCAATGGATGCTAACAACTCCCAACATAAAAGGTACGAGTATTTATTTACTTAGGTATCTATTGTTTTGTTTGACAGCCGAACAAATAAATAAGCCATGCAATGTGTAGATGTTATAGTCCTACTTGTGTGGGTAATGTTGAGGAAGTGCTGGCTGTTATATGTTTATGCAGGAGTCTTTGAAGTTTAAGGCTGACATTGTATGTTAATTGTGTTGCTTCAAAATAAGAACCAACTCCTTTCAGTGTCAATATGAAGAGGAACTCAAATCGTTGCATATGCAATTATGCACGATGGTTGTTGGGCGACCAGATTATTTCCTAGTACTTTTGCTTGACATTATGTTTTATGCCATAACCATAATTTTGAAAATCAAGCCAGACCGGCTGAAGGGGTAACCTTCCAGGTATCTAGCCTGGTCATCATCAACTCAACTTAAAAATTGATTTTGATGTTATATGGTTGAATTTATGCTCTTTTTGCATATGTTTTGAACTTATGATAATCAGAGTTATTATAGGTATGTGTGTGTGAATGTATGTGTGTATAATGTATATGCATGAGTGTGTGTATAACTGTATGCACACAGACCTGGATAATATCAGTTAAAACCAGTTGAACCACCTCCTAACTATAAGCATTTCTGGCTCAATGTTTTGTCCGAGTTATTAACACCATGGATTGACAGAATTTTGGCAAGCCCACTCTCTTGATCGTGGAATGTATTTCCCGGTTTTGTCAATAATATGCCATTAGAGTTTCCACTCTTTTTTATTGGATATTACTTCTCCTGTCTGCAATTGATGGAATCCAGGGCTATATTCAGACTCTTCCACTGACATGATTTTTACATTTTCTATTTTGTATCGTCTGACAGATAATGCAATCATCATCACATAGAGGTGGTCGGGGAGGCAGAAGGGGTGGGCGGGGAGGCGGTCGTCGAAGTCAGCCTCAGAGTCGTCCATCAGCAGCACCTCCGGGTCCGGTGCAGCCCCCACCTCGTATGGCATGGTGCGAACTCTGTAGGGTTGAGTGCAACACCCTCGAAATCCTGGAGCAGCACAAGAGTGGAAAGAAACACCAAAAGAATGTCAAAGTTCAACAAGAGTTGCAGAGAGTCATGGCTGCTAAAGCTTCTCAAGTTCAGGAAACAGAGGAAGGATCTTCTGTGCCGCCACCTGCAGTGGAGAATACTGCCGTTAATGGTGGAGAAGGTCAAGGGAGTGGGCAGAAGCGCAAGATGAGAGGTGGCGGACGAGGTGGAGGGGGAAAGAGCTCTAGAAGAAAACTAAACGAACCACCTAAACCCAAAGGAGGACACATTCCTTTGATATGCGAGCTCTGTAACGTCACTTGTGAGACACAGCTTGTTTTCCAAACCCATCTGAAGGGGAAGAAGCACATAGCAAACCGCAAGCGCTTTGAGGAATCAGAAGCCGTGCTTGGACATGCGGCAACTCAGGCGTTATATCCAGCTCTACAACCCATTCTCCAGGCAATTCCACCGGATCCTCAATCTAATCATCTCCCAGGAGGAGGAGGTCAGCAGGACTTACCATTGGTCTTCAATTATGTTCCACCAACAGTGACGCCGGTAGCAGCAGAGCCTGCAGTGGCTTTGATGAATACCACCACCACCACCACCACTCCTACCACCGCGTTGATTACACCTGAGGGTGACATCCTCCAGAGATTTTCCTCCTAATATTCTTCAGTGGGGCACCCTGAAGCAGTAGTTATTGACTGTCCGAGTGAGCCTCTTCTGAAATAATGATTTACCGTTTTGTTCCTGAAAACTATGAACCTCTTGCGTACTTATCTGGCAAAGAAAATGGACATAACCCTATTTCATTAACATTTAATCTACCAAATAACTTTTATTCTAGATTTATTAACTTTATGGGATTAAAAAAAATCAATTGAATAATGCATTGAAAATGTAGAAGAAAAAGCCATTGACGATGACCAATCATTAGAAAATATGAATATTATGTTACAAAATGATAACATTTGTATTAGAAATGTTGATGTTGTGCTAAGGGTATTATAAACCATGCTAACAAAATCTTCTATTTGCGGATGTTACACAAATTATCTCACTTGTCTTTCTTTTTTTTATTTATAGAAATATATACGGGGTATGCAGCAAAAAAAATTCTCTCAAAAAATGTAATCACCTGCACTTTTTATTATTCAACATCTTTTCAATATCATGTCTATCAGTTTTAAATCTTTGTGAATACAAAATTAGCATTCTTTTATTGGACGGAAAGATAGTGATTAAAAAAATTGTTACTCCGTATTACTTTATTAATTTTACTATAATAATAATAAAAATAAAATCAACAACAATAATAGTAAGTTTTATTTAATTATAATAATAATTATTGTTAATATTTTTGAGCACATAATACTTATGGAGTACGGGGTATTATTTAATTATACGTAACATCAAATAATGTAACATCATTTAATCGTATATAAGTATTATTTAGTCCTAGATAATACTCCCTCTATTCGGAAATACTATTCCCAATTTGATTTACGAGATTTGATTGAAGTTATTTTTTAATTCAGTTTAGATGTTTACAAGTATAAATTCAAAAATAAAATTTATTAATTTAAAAAGTAAATAAAAAATTCTAGAAAACAAATGGTGACATGTGTATTATATTATGAAATAAATAGTGAAAATAAATAGGAAATGAGAAGAATATTTTTAAACAAAAAGGACTAAATTGACATTATTTTCAACATTTTTCTGGTTCGATCTAAATGAATTTTTATTTGATTGGATCTAATCTAAACACAAAAAATAAGTTGAATCGTAATTTATTTGGATATTTTACCACACTAAAAGAAAAAGAAAGATATTGGGCCGGTTAACTCATGAGACCAAGCTTACATTCGACCCATGGACACAAAGCCCGTTCCTTTTTATTTCTTAAAATTATTAACACAGCTTTTTAGAGAACCTCTCACCATCTCCATAAACATCGCTTCCGCTCCGCTCCGGCCGCCTACCAGACATATCTCCGACCGTCAATCTCCAGGTACGCTCCAACTTCCGGCCTCAGCTAATTAACTCAAACCAAAATTAGGCCTTTTTCCGATCTGCAGGCACGAAACACAAGTATTAGATGTTCAATGAATTTTTTTAGATCTATGGTCAAAATTCCAATCCCGAATCGTACTCTACGGATCTTCTGCTAGACTTATGTTTTCAAATGTGTTCTTGAAATACTACTCTATGATATTTTATTTTATATACTTTCTTTTCTTCTCGTAACGTAATTAGAATAGTAACCTTTTGGAAAGTATGTTGTTTTTAGACTTCACTTTGCATTCTTTGATTGTGTTTGATTGATAACGCAGATTCACTAATTCACAGGCATTAAATTTTCAAAATAGGTAAGGAGTGATTCTTTAACTATTCTAAACAATTTCACTCATGCACTAATCATGAAAAGAAGATGAATCAAATTGTTACTTGAAAGTAATTCGATCCGAGTATTTTAACCGCGTGTAATGTGTTGATGGTTGCTAGTTTTGATTCTTTTTATTTGTACTGAGTAGAACTCCGGAGTATTGTTTTAGCAATGAGAATTTTTAAAATATGGGTTTGAAGTTTTAGTTGTTAATTTTAAACCAATGACAAGTGATTGGTACCCAAAGCGGTACACTTTGTGATACTATAGATTCACAATTGTAATACTTGCAAAAAAAAATTGATAAGATTATCAATTGTTTATGTTTGTCATCCATTAATCTTAATGTATTTAACTCAGAAGCTAAACATTTAAAATGGGAAGGAAGAAATCTGATGAGGCAGGACCAAGTAAGAGTAAGGGAAGTGGCAAGGATACTTCCAAAGAAGGAAAGGAGAAGATTGTGGTATCTGCAATGCTTGCTAAAATGGAGCCTAGCAAGAAAGCTTCTTCTTCTTCATCTTCTTCTTCTAGAACCACTAGACTCGCCCCAAAAGCTTCATCTTACACTGATGGGATTGATCTCCCTCCTTCTGATGATGAGGACGAGGAAGACGTAGGTCCGGCAGAAACCGAAGCACAAAATGGTGACTGCAAGCATGGTGTCAAAGGGCGTAACAGAAATGATGCCGAAAATACCCTCGACGTCTCGATGACTGACAAAGAGCTAAAGAAACGGGAAAAGAAAGAGATGCTTGCTGCCCATGCTGCTGAACTGGCAAAGCAGGAAGCTCTCAGGGACGACCGTGATGCCTTCACTGTTGTTATTGGAAGCCGTGCTTCTGTTCTCGATGGCCAAGATGATGCAGATGCCAATGTTAAGGACATCACAGTAGACGGTTTCTCTGTTTCGGCACGGGGAAAAGAGCTTTTGAAGAACACGTCCGTGACGATTGCTCATGGCAAGAGATACGGGCTGGTGGGACCCAACGGGAAGGGGAAATCAACCCTTTTAAAACTACTTGCATGGCGAAAGATTCCTGTCCCGAAAAACATCGATGTCCTCTTGGTCGAACAAGAGGTTGTTGGCGATGACAAGACTGCCCTTGAAGCTGTTGTTTCAGCTAACGAAGAACTGATCAAGACCCGCAAAGAGGTTCAGGATTTATCTGCTTCTGTTTGTGACAATGAAGAAGAAGATGATAACATAGGAGATGACGTGGGAGAAAAACTTGCTGAGCTGTACGAAAAGTTGCAGATAATGGGGTCCGATGCCGCGGAGGCCCAAGCATCTAAAATACTTGCTGGGTTGGGTTTTACCAAGGAAATGCAGGGACGTCAAACACGGTCCTTCAGTGGTGGTTGGAGGATGCGAATCTCACTGGCTCGGGCACTCTTTGTTCAGCCCACACTACTGCTTTTGGATGAACCCACCAACCATCTCGACCTTCGCGCTGTTCTTTGGCTGGAGGAGTACTTATTCAGGTGGAAGAAAACCCTCGTTGTTGTTTCCCACGACCGTGATTTCCTCAATACCGTTTGCACCGACATCATCCACCTCCATGAAATGAAGCTCCATTATTACCGTGGCAACTTTGATTCTTTTGAAGGTAACTATGAGAATCGTCGCAAAGAGGCGAACAAAAAGTATGATGAGTATGATAGGGCGTTGAAGAACGCCAAGAGATCTGGGAGTCGGGTGCAGCAGGAGAAGGTAAGGGATCGTGCCAAATACGCCGCTGCAAAAGAATCAAAGAGAAGGGGAAAAGACAAGGGAGGTGACGACGGCGACGAGCCTAAAGCCGAGGCCCCACTTAAATGGAGAGACTACACCGTCGAGTTCCACTTTCCGGAGCCCACGGAACTCACACCTCCACTTTTGCAGTTGATTGAAGTTAGCTTTTCCTACCCCAGCCGACCCGACTTCCGACTCTCGAACGTCGATGTCGGCATCGACATGGGGACCCGCGTTGCCATTGTGGGACCCAACGGTGCGGGAAAGTCAACTCTCCTCAACCTTCTCGCCGGCGACTTGGTCCCGAGCGAGGGAGAGGTACGGAGGAGTCAGAAGCTGAGAATCGGACGGTACTCGCAGCACTTTGTTGATCTTCTGACGATGGACGAGACACCAGTGCAGTACCTCCTCCGCCTCCACCCCGACCAAACGGGGCCCAGCAAGCAAGAGGCAGTCCGCGCCAGGCTCGGGAAGTTCGGTCTCGAGAGCCACAACCACTTGACCCCCATCGCGAAGCTGTCCGGCGGCCAGAAATCGCGGGTTGTCTTCACCTCCATTTCCATGTCCAAACCCCACATACTGCTGCTGGATGAACCCACCAACCACCTGGACATGCAGAGCATTGACGCCCTGGCGGCGGCGCTCGATGAGTTCACCGGAGGGGTTGTGCTGGTGAGTCACGACTCAAGGCTCATATCCCGCGTCTGCGACGACGAGGAAGTGAGTGAGATTTGGGTGGTGGAGGATGGAACTGTCACGCCATTCCCCGGGAGCTTTGATGAGTACAAAGAAGAGCTGCAAAGGGAAATCCGAGCTGAGGTTGATGACTGATTTTGGCTCTGATGTGTGTCCAATATATATACATTTAACAAAAAACATTATGAATTTTCCCATGTGGTCACTTGTTTTACTATATACACTTATTTTGCGGTTTTGTTTGAATTGTCATTTGTTTGGAATAATGGAGCTTTTCTTTGGTTTTGCTTATCCTGGTCTTCCTTTAACCATAGACTTTCATATCATTTTTTAAACTTTTTTTTTTTTTGATACTTTTATGCATGACAGACAACTTAAACATTACAAACAAATGAATAACAAATCCAGTAAAATTTCACACACACACACAAAGTAAAATCTCTAGTTGAAAGTAAAGGGGTTATTTCTTGGAGAATACTGGCCCCAAAGCACAAACAAGTTACACATAAACATCACAAATCATGCATTGCTTTAACTAGGCCAACCAAAACAAGTACCACAAATAAGTGAATAACAGGAATCTCTTCATACTTAGCAAACCACTAACAAAATTTCATTGTTAGTTTGAAATAGTGTTGTAACTAACTCTAATGAAGTTAAAGTAGTTTTGATGGGAGAAGGGAAAGGGAAATTGAAGGATTAATAATTAAGGTGGTGGTAGAAGTGGTGCAGTGAGATGAGATCTCTTGTGCCCACCCAAGGCTTGCCCTGAAGAAAACACTCTGTAGCAGAGAGGGCATTCATGGGTTTTCTCATCCTCCCCGGCATTTTCCTCCACCACCTCCGCGGCGGCCGCTGCCGCCGCCCCTTTGAACATCAACTTCTTGTGACTTGCTCTGTGCCCCCCAAGTGCCTGATATGACCTAAACACCCTTCTGCAACTCCCACCGCATGTGTAGTATTTCCTCTTTCTCTTGGCACCTTTCTTGTCAGCCACAGCCTCTTCGGCGGAATCCCCGGAGTTCTCTAACCCCTCCTCGCCGCTGCCACCCCCGCCGCCGCTCCATTTGTCTCTGGACAACATCATCAAGCAGTAAGCGCCGTCTTCCTCCGGGGAACTTGCGAATTTCCTCCACCATAGCTTACACTTGTGTTCCTCCATTGTCTCCCAGAGGGAGATTTGTTCTTTTTTTTTTTTGTAAATCTAGAAGTGAACTTTTTCTTTGTTGGGTCTCTTTTGGGTGAAGATCACTTGAAGTGTATGTGAGCTTCTTTGAAGGAGTGTAAAGAGAGAGGGGACTAAAAGGGAGGGAGTAGGTGACATGCATTTCTCTTCCCACTTCACACCAATTGTTACTCATATATACGGAAAACATCCTCAATTTTTTATTTTATTTTTTTGACATATAAAAATTCCCTCTCAAAAGTATGTATATTTTAATTTTTAAAGATATATTCAGTCTAGATAATTAATATTATCACTCAACAATAACATCAATCGAGTAAAATTCCCCGAAAGTAGAATCTGAGAAGGGTATGCGTATGCTGACGTTACCCTAACTATTGTCAATCACGTAATGTTTTCTTTAAGTACAAAAAAAGCTTATGCATATTATGATCGAAGAACTTGAACAAAGTGAAGAAAATTTAAGAACTAAGAATGAATAGTAATTTACCTTTGCATATATAAAAGCAGAGTCGTCTATCCTAGGTGATTTATGTTGGAAACGAACATTGAGACAATGGAACCATTGAGACAACGGGGCATTCTCGTAAAGATATGTAGAGAATGGATTGCCAAAGATTGGAAGGTAGTGACTATAAGTCATACTAATTCATGACTATTATTAAAAACAATCATAGTATGATATTTAGATAAAATGATATTTTGAAAATATTTTACAAGAATTGATAATTCATGTTTATCAATTCTGAATATTAAAAGTCAAAATAGAATAAATATTCTATGAGGAAAGTAGTCAAAACTTTCACATGCATTACAAAAAAATCTCAAACTCCTTTTTTAACACTTTTCATTTTTTTGGGACCAATACATAGAGAAAGTACTCTATATATAGAGTCTGTTTGACATTAGCGTTTTGAAAAATTAATCTGCCTTAGCGTTAACATTTTCAAAATTAATCTACATCATTGACATTTTATTTAAAATGCCGATAAAAAAACACATTTTTCCCAATGAGTGAACTGAATAATGTGTGTGTGTGTGTGTGTGTGTGTGTGTGTGTGTGTGTGTGTATATCAAAATTGATCAATACTAAGATGGAACAAAACTGTACTGTTTGATGACTGAATGAATTACTATACACTCAATTCAAGCTAAGGAGTATTATTCAGCAATTATATGAATAATATTAAATTAATTAAATAGATTAATTAAGAATTGGGGCAACAACCTCAGTCGTGGAACCAATTCCAACCTGTAACCACGGCGAATCATTGCCCTTAACGCTACTCATCTCCTTCATCTCACTCAGCTTTTCTATTTCCACCTTTTTACCCTCCCCTTCCTCATTTTTAGCACTTATGCCGCCGTGGCCGCCGCCGGCCGCGGCGGCGGCCACAACATCTGCAACAACGACAGCCTTGTTGATGTTGTCATCACCGTAGTTGTCGTTGTTGTAGTAGTCGTTGTTGTCGTCCGGCTGGCTCCACATCGTGAGCATCCGGACGTCCGTGGACACCTCGAAGCTCAACGGGTTTCGAGGGTCCCGCCTTATTCCGGCCGACATGTCGTCCCCGTTCGCGGGGAGGTTGAGGTCGAGGGCCGAACCCTCGGCCGGCGTCCTTCTCCCTGGGAAATGGAACTTCGGGACGGCGGCTGCGGCGTGGGAATAGGAGTTGGACGTTGTGATCCAGTGGCATCTCTTGTGACCTCCCAATGCTTGCCCGGTCGAAAAGACTCGGTGGCAGATGGAGCACTCGTGGTCCCGGGGCTTCCTTCTGGAAGCTCCCGCGGTGGCGCCACCGCTTTCGATGTGGTAGGAGGAGGATGATCTGTTAGAGGAAGGGGAGTACTCGTCGTGCGCGGCGGCGGTTAGATCATCGTCGCCGTCGTTGTCTATGTGGTCCTGCTTCGCGGCGTAGCACCCTTTAACCTTCTTGTGGCTCGCCCGGTGACCTCCTAGGGCTTGATGCGACGTGAAAACTTTCTTGCATGCTTTGCATTCAAAGAGACCTTTGGAAGGGGAAGAAGAAGAGGAGGAAGTTATGCCTTTGGCCTTGTCTACTACTTGAACCGGCATAGGGAATCGCGGCCGACTGGCGAGCGGAGCCACAAAAGTTGGTGGCGGGGGCATGTACCGCCTCTCCTCCACGGAGGCAGCACTTGACTCCGCCTCCTGCTCGGAAACCATAGAAGTATTATTAATATTCTTGTTGTTGTTGTTGTTGTTGTTGCCGTTGTTGTTGTTGTCCACTCTGGCATTGGCCAAGTCAATGAGGCATCTGGCGAGGAGGATGTCTTCCTCTTCGCTAGACGGAGCCGCGAAAACGGTGGCACCATCAAAGCCGCCGCCACTACTTCCGACTTTAGCTCTGAGCGATCTCTTCCTCTTCGACCATCCCTGGCCGCCACACCGCCCAAAATCATCGTCCTCCTCCTCCGATCCCTGATGCGACGACACCGGCGACTCAGCATCGTCGGAGCTGCACTTGCCGTGCTCGAGGAAGGACTTCCACGAGAAGAACTCCTTCCCGCAATTCTCACAAACCCTAACGCTCTTGAGGCGATTAGGGTTTGCTCTCAATTGGTACATCCTCTTGATGCTCGTCCTCTGAGGATCGCTACCGCCCCCGCCTTCATTAACCTTATTGTTACTATGTTCTTCCCGATCGCTAGCCTGTTCTTCGCCGTCGTCGTCGTCGTCGTCGTCCATGATGGCACTCTCATCTCCAATGCCATGAGCTCTCATGTGCCCTCCAAGGGCTCTTCCGCACATAAACCCCTTCTTACATACCCTACAATAATGCTTAAAGCTCGGTTGTTGTTGTTGTTGTTGTTGTTGTTGTTGTTGCCCAGATTGTTCAATGCAAGCAGCCATGTAATTAATGAAGTGTAATTAGTTAATTGTGATAATGACTGTCAATCAATCAAGAAGCTAATAAGGGATGATGAAATGGTGTAGAGTGGAGGAAATGAAGTTTGTTCTTGTAGGAGGAGTTGTTTGAGGGATATGAGGCCAGGATTAATGGTAAAAAGAGAGAGTTTAATGTTGGGCCTAATTTGTAGCTAATCTACACGAGGAAATAATGTGGGGGTTGTTTCTATGGTGGAAATAATATATAAGACTCCTATATAAGAGTGTGCATGTGGTGTGACAAGTGGGAGGATGGGAGTGTATCAATTGATATAGAGAGAGCTTAATTGGATTGGATTGGTGGTGGAGAATTGAACAACATTTGTTATTTACTAATGGAGTATATTTTATTTAATTTGTAATAAAGACATTAATTAGTTAATTAAAATGATGACCAAGTGATTGACTTGTGAGGAGTGTTTGTCTCTAGTCCGTCCACCTTGAGTAAAATGAGAGAGTGATGATCATATAACATATTGTTAGAGTACATCCCACATCAGAAATCCAAGAGTAAAATAATCGGTATATAAGCTCTAGAGTTGAACTAACTAATTGATTGGATTCAATCTTTTAATGTGGTTCAACCCAAGTGTCTTATTACCCAATCCAGTTATCCATACCCATCCTAAATTTTATCACATATGCATGCATGCATTCATGCATCTTATTATTTTCTTCCTTCATTCTCGCCTAACAATGTTGCATCGTTGAAATTTTAAAATAATTTTTTCTAATGTCATTTGCCTAAAATAATCTCATTTCTGCAGAGTTGCTCAAAACAATCTCATTTTCTAATGAATTGCATATGTATAATTCTCTCACTTTTTAAATTCTTAATTTTTAAGTTTTTGTCTATCTCAGTCACACTATATCGAAATAAATATATAACACTTTTTATTAATCTCATATTACACAATGTTGCACGAAATAAACTCGCTTTCTATAAAAAACCGAATCGCACTAAATAAATCGGACATTTCTAAGCAAGTATTTCATTTTATGTATATGAGTGAATGTCATATGCGGATAAAAAAAATAAAAAATATAAATGCAAATAACACATCAATCGATTAAAGTTATTTTGACTTAACTACTACTTGTACTAAACATTTTAAATCATATTATAAACTTTGTAAAAACTTAAGAATATATACACCAATAACTAACCCTTATACGAAGTTATA